TTATAATACTCAATTATTTTACGATTTAGTCTTTTATGTGGTCAAAAGAAGTCAGCTTGCTTTCGGTGGCACGAAATTTTAAACAGACGCTCGCTCAGCTGATGCTTGCGTTGAAGACGTATAGTTGTGTTCGCTATCGTGTTGGTGTCTGTAACGAAATTTTCGATTGGCCAGATTATTTGATGTGTAATTATCAGGTTATTAGCGTGCTGGTGTTATGAGCTGTGCTGCTTGTTGGTTCAAGATGATATGGTTGTGTCGAGCTTACTTCATTTTCACACGTATGCCTAAATTTTTCCTATGTCAATATTGCTGTAAAGGAAACAATTTTAATGACATTTGAGCTGCAGTTCCGTCGTCAACTATTGTCCGTGTAATGATGTGTTTTAATCCATATAGTCTTTAATACTCTGAAATGACTGGATTCACACCCAAATGGCCCCCTGTTTGAAAATTATCCATAAATATTGGTGCCAGTCATTGTAGCTTGTTTATGCGGAATTGTCGATTTTCTGGCATGTCGTTAATTTTCCCTACTTGCGATGTATAGTCGTTCGTTTCGGTATAAGAAATCCTAAAAACCCATCTAATATGCCTGGACAGACTTATCTTAATATTTTGTTCGAGCACCATTTTCTTGAGTCTTAGCTTGAGGCAGTCAGCTGACCAGCAAGCATCGCCGCAGCCAGGCTGTCTACTCTATACCTCACTGACAGAGGTCTCATGTTCCAAGTCGTCTGAGTTGCTAGAGTTACCCACGTTTATTCCTGTTATTCCGACTCTCGAATCGAGTGCATGAGCTCTAACAGTTATGATTCGTTATATTTTTAATGAATTGTACGCTTTTCAATTAGAATTTCTACACAAAAATATTTTTTTTTGTAAATGTTCTAAATGGTAACGTTTCGTCATTACAAGTCTTCTTGAATTTATAATTAGTTCTTTTTGAGGCACGAAGAGTGCGCTGTTGCTGCCCGTAGTAAATTGTTCTAGTTATCAAAGCGATGGGAACCTCTAGTCGCTCCTGCTCGTAAGCTCTTGTCTGAACAAAGGACGGCAGCTGGCTTACAGCTGATGCTCGCAGCGTCGTAGTACTACCTCACCGTAGAGGCGTAGACGATCTTGAGCAACAGTCGCCGAACTTTTCTGCCCTCTATACTCACGTGCTTTTGTGTCTTAAGTAAAAATTGATTGGTTTTCTCACACTGCAATTAGTCTTTTACAAATTAGGTTGTGTTGGATCTATATATAGGGAGTATTGCAGAAGTGTTGGTGTTGCGCATTTTGTCTCTTGTATGCTTGGCTGAGCGCGGCTTGTGATTGGGCGGGTCAAGCTCGGCTGCTGATAGGGCGAGTCAAAACCTCATGGGCTTGGGACGAGAGCGCGCCATTTTCGTCCGCTCCTGCCATTGTTCATAAAGATCCGTGCTTATTAATTGGCCCTCTTGGCTAAGATAACGGGTGCCAAGTTAAGGTTTTTTACTAAATTCAAGTATCCGCTACCTGAATTACCATAATTTTCCTAATTTGTATAAGGTTGAACTCGTTGTAGAGTTTTAATGGAAAAGCCTGCTTTTCTATGGAGTCTAGCACTCTAGCCTGGGTCGCGTCACCTGTTCCGCTCAATGTCAGATTCGCAGCTGTTACCCTGATGCCTTATATCCAGTGTGCATGCAAAGTGTTGCCTAGCTACTTATGAGATTTTATGTTTCATGGTTGAAGCGTTTATCATACCCCTATAATAATAATACCCCTAACGCGATGAAAAGATTTATCAGCATGAAATGTGTTTTTACACTCTGTAAGTCTGTATTCTTCTACAATCACATCACTGATTGGATATGGAGAATTATCTTGATTAGTGTGAATATTATTTTGTATTCAGATTGTACAACGCATCACAATAATTTTTTTTTGTGTGAGACCCGCCATTTTACGACGTCCTGCTCGTTGTTTGGCTTTATTGACTAATAGCTATCTTATATTCCTAAAAATCTTTCGGAATTTTGTTTGATCTGAACTGTAATCACTCATTTGAACATATATTATTATCACGGCAATTGATAAGTAGCCTTCATTGAAGAAGACTGCAATTTGACGACATCGAGCACGGGAGCGGCGCACATCCTTCCTATGACACCGCAACTATGTCAATGCCAGCGACGGAAATCACGGAATAGAGAAACGCAACGGATGGCCTGTGGCGCGACCATGACTTGTGCGCATGCGCGACACGACGTACTTGTGCACACACTAACTCAACTTGCTGCTCGTATTTAAAAGACCCCGCCAACATCATTCGCTTTTATGGCAATTGTAGTATTCTTGTGTTTAATAAAGGCACAATGAGTAATGTAAAAATAATTGGATTGCATGATGTCTTCCAAAATTGCATGCAAATGCAAATTGTTGAAGAGGCACAAAGAAAACGTTTCGGCTGGTGTCGTCAGATCGATCGCTTCGTTGAGGGTCAACTGATGCGGCGTTCCTTGTAAGGTATTATCGTCTGACTTGAATGAAAAGGTACAGAACTTGTTGGAATTAGCAGCAAATTTCTGCTTTATTTTGTCGAATGAAAAAATCTACGAGTAAGTGAGCCTTGCCAGAAATGCCTACCGTAGTGACGGCAATTTTGAACGTTAATTCAAATTCATGCTCTATTCATGAAAATTCGTCACCTTTACGGCTTTACCCATGTCTTGTGGGATAGATAATGCTGTCGTTATTTTTCATAAATTGCACACGTGGAAATTAATATTTATTTAATCAGTCATGATGTGCATCACTAGTTATTCAAATGAGTTTTTTTTCTATTTATTGTTTTCGGAAGTTCGGGCAAGTTCTTCCATTCTTTGACTGGACGCATTTTACCAATTGCGACTAAATATATTCATAAAGTAAATAAAAGACTAATACTACACTTATCAGTAAAGACTAATACTACACATATGGGAACTATAGAAACACTGAGTAAAAATTGTGTACTTCCAGCGCGTGTCAATGAAAAAAAGTGCGCGAAAGATCTCATCAGCTGTTGACGTTACTGCTGAACTATAGTAATAAAGATGTTCAAACGATTCGGATAGCTAATATCAAGCCATTTTTTGGTCAAAAAATATTAAAGAGGATCATAATGAAATTTTCATTATTTGTTCCAATAAAAACAATCTAACTGACTTCCTTTGGTCGTTCGTAATTCAATTGAAATATCTCTTTGTAGATGTCAGATATTGAAATCAATCGTGTGGTCGAGCTCTGAGCTCCGTTCTTTTGTTGGCGGGGGTGGTTTAGGCTACTTTGCAGCACATCCTCTTGTCCCTCTTATATGTGTCCCCCTTTTCCCTCTTATGTGTGTCACTGTGTGTTTTCTATTGAAGTGTTTTACTATTTTATTAATTCAACTAAAATCATTCTCATTCTTTTCAGGTCAGGTTTAGATCTGTTACTGATTATCTAAATTTGTGTCGAAACCTACTTTAAAGTGTGGTGCTGAATTAATTGCTGTCCCACGCTCCCTAGTCCCTAACCTCTTGAGTGATTTGCTTGAAAGCACCCTGTAAACCTCCTAACTGACTTGTATTGGAAGCAGTTATTGGTGCGCATCTTATTCATTGGTCCGTGTGCATTTTTACTTGGCGGCGTCATCTTTAGTTCAGCTTCAGTTGATCATTTATACACATTTTCCTTTATTCTGTCATTTTCCTTTATTCTGTCATTTTCCTGTCACTTTTACTGTATGAGATACCAATAATTATTAGAACCAGTATTTGCGTTTCATTTTCCTTTTCAACCTTTAGTCATCATGTTAACTTAACTCATTCAGTCAGATAAAGTAGGCGATGAGTTCGTCTCACCCTCGTTGAGACACCGGCAACACCGCCCCCCCAAAACCTTTCCACCGCCCCTAGGGGGGTGATAAAGCCCACTTTGGGAACCACTGAACTGAAGTATTCCTGAACTTGCATTCTTTGATTAAGTCTTTAGCAAGCCAAGAACTTGAAAGCAGGGGAAATGCCAGTTTACTTGACGTTTTGTTTGCTTTTTGATTTTTAAGGTTTCCTAAAGATTCTCTGCTAGTTTATGGGCTGTCGATATCTACGTGAAATGATTCAAGTACAAAGCAGAATCAACGGGTAAAGGTATATATATATATATATATTGTTGGAAAGCGTCCAAATAATTAGTATATATATATACGCTTGTGAAGACTCTTAGGTCTCTCATGCCATAATCATAATGGTTAAAAACTTTCTGCAAGTAGGGACAAAAGTTCTTTGTACTGTAATGATGTCTCGTCAATAATATTAAGTCAGAAGGCATGTTATTCTTGCCTAACTATGACTCATTTTTCAATTGTGTTTATTTTTTAAATCTGCTATTCATTCACATTTCCAAGTGAGAGTTGATATTTTAAATTGTCTTTTAAATATTATTAGTTAAATTATTAGTTAAATTAAAATAACTGGCTCTTTTCTTGTGACTGAAGTAGCCCCTGGAAGGGCTGAGATGATGGAATGATTGCACTAGCACTTCTCACAGAATTGGCGATGAAAAATCCTCTTGGGTCATACAATACTGAGAAGTTCTTAAGATCTAAATATAACTTAGTTGCTCAAAAATATTCTTGTAGAATGTAGATGATAGCAACAAGGTATTGCTCAGGAGTTCATTTTTCATAGAAGAGAATGTATGTTAGTCTCATGATGAGATTATGTCTTGCAAAATTGCAAGAATTTTTTTTCTAAATTTTAATAAAACATTATTGTGGTTTTCTCTACCACTTTGGAATTGCAATCCTAATCCAATTTTATTGGTTGTTCAGGTGCACCTTGCTCAGATTGAATCATGGTGACGATACTAAAACGCATTCAGATATGTTCTCCCTGTCTTATACACAAAGTTTGCCGTCTTTAAATGTAATATTGAATTTCATGAAAGACTATACAGATTACCAGTGTGAAATGTTTGGCATAACATTGAAGTCCTGTCATTTTTGGCAGATGTGAACGTGCCATGAAGCGTCGAGCTGAGGAAATTTCAAGTGTGGGCCAATGTGACCCTCAGTCTTCCACTGATCACTACCCATCCCATGCTCAACAACAACACTTCAGTGTTGCAGACCACCAACATATTAGTGTGACATCTTCACCTCATCACAATGCCATTCCATTGTCATCCTCATCTTCTTCGCAGGTTTTGTTTGGTTCCCATTTTTCTGACTCTTCATCTAGTAATGCTATATCATCATCTGCTAGTGTTACATATACTCATGTAAACAACCCTGCTTTCTGCAGTCGCACCCACACACCTCACCCTAACGTTGCACATCATTCTCTTATTAACATCCCATCTACAAACTCTAGCAATTCCCTCAATTATGGCCTTGGACCCTCAAGACTCTCTGGCTCTACTCTGACTTCTGGTAGCACTGTTGTTATACCTGAAGGAATACCTGTTTCTCTGTCCAACAACCGACCCACTACTCTGGGTGTTGTCTCGTCAAACAACCAGACTGTTGCAGCCGTGCTAAGTGGTGGTGTTGGGCGATCATTGCAGACGCTCTCGTCTACACCACCACAGTTCGTGGCCATCAGTAGTGCTCCTGGTGGGCTGTCTGAAGCTTCACTAATGCAAGAACTACAACCATTCACAAATTCTATCTCAGGTGAATAAACCTGCTCTCTATTCTCATTTCCTGTATTTCTGTTGCTGTGGTCTCCTGTGTGTTGATTGGGTGCCGTTGTTTGTTATCCTCACACCTTGTGCTTTTGTCACAACTTTATCAGCCCTTGATTGAGGATTAATACTGGTTTTTTTGTATCTGCCATTTATCTTGACTCACAGCAAAGTAGTGTTTTCCTTTCATGACACGATGCATGATAGCATTGAGTGAGAAAATTCAGTTTTATTGAAACACCTGAAGTAGCATGCTTTGCTCATGAACAATGCTTCAAGTTGAAGAGCATATAAATTTCTTCACAATTTTTATCAACATGATTTTGTTTTATGTGGGAAGTAGATAGAAGTAGATTCTTGTAGAAAACATCCAATTTAATGAGGTATCTTGCATCAGGAATTATCAGCGATCTTGCTTTTTGTGCATATGAAATTTAATTTATCAATTATCAGGCCCTTTTTGTATTTTGATGTAGTGAAATAAATATTTTGAGCTAGAAACAGCATAACATGGCTAATTTTGCCTTTTTTTCCTGTAGCAAGCCAGTACTAATAAAAAAAAAGATTTTAATTCTACATATTTATTGCCTTCTTCATGATATTATTATGTTACCCTCTTTTAAGATTTTGCAGTTTGAATTTTTTTTCATAATAAATATTGTGTTTGAGGCCTGAGATCTGAGACTATTTTTATTTGCATTCTTCTACACAAAATTTTAATTCTCGTGGTTGTTAATCTATGAAGCTCAAATAATAAAGAAACACAAAGGTGTTTTCATTATTTGCTCTTTTTTATGCTTGTGAATGATTTGCAGTTTTTATAACATGCTGCTTGCTACATAATATGAGATTAGCTGGCAACAATTACCAGTGGTCACTGGTATGCTCAAATAGCACATCTGAATATTATTATATTTATTTGCACTTATAGATAACACAATATTTTAGAACTTTCCAACTATGCATTCATTTTAGATAAGTTTGTGAACATATTGGTGTATGGAAGAAAATCTACTAGTTGTGTATTTAAATCCTTCTTTCTGATCTTTCATCCTTCCAGTTAACAGCAAACTGGAGATGCCTCACCAGATCACGCCATACTCGCCCTCCCTCAGTGCAGCATCTGTCTCCCAGGTTTGAACTTTAAATTAAGAAAGATACCATGCAGTCAATAAGTGAATTGTTTGTAATCAAAGTTGAGCTGCTAATGAAGAACTGGTTTGAGTATTGAATAGGTATAAATTTTTTGCATTGGCATGCAAAAGCTACCGCTATAATGAAGTCAAGCATTTGTGCATATGTTTTTTTAAGATGTAGCAAAAATATTTAATATTTTCAATAAAATTATTACTTATCAATGTTTATTGTGTGCACATCATTTTAATATTTTTAGAGCTATCTTGAAACTCAACCAATTATAAATCATACCAGCATGCATGATTCAATTAATATTTGACTTTTATCACCCTATTGATTTTATTATTCCAGTTTTGTGTTTACACAATTGATGTAATAAACAAAGCATTTGGCTCTCTCTTTTATTTTCTTCACTCAGGTTATTACAAGTTAAATTTTTGATCAGGTTGGTGGAGGCATGACAGGCCTGGGTGGTGGCAGCGTGGTGCTTGCCAGTGGAGTATCAGGAGGTGGACCGGCAACTCTGTCAGCTCCCTTACATCACCACCATCATCACCATCCACAGCAGTTGCCACAGCAGCAGGCTGTCCCAATCAGCGTCTCTGCTGTGGCTGCCGCTGTGCCAGTGTCCAACAATCTGCAGCAGCCTCCTGGCGGGCAGTTCCAAAGATTAAAAGTTGAAGATGCATTGTCCTATCTCGATCAGGTGAAGGAATGTTTTTGTCTTGATCAGGTGAGTGCATGTCTTTGTCTTCATCTCGTGAGTGCCTGGTTTGTCTTGATCAGGTGAGTGCATGTCTTTATCTTGATCGAGTGAGTGCCTGTTTCTGTTTTAAGCAGTGATCTTTGTCATGACTTCGACATCCAGCAGAGGCATCAAATTAGCATTAGTAAGCAATGCATCCTTTTTCTTGTGAGAACGTTGTTTTTTTTAGCAAAATCAATTGACACTGAGCAGTCAGAGCAGTTGCTTGTGTTATAGATGATAATTTTAAAAGTTATTTTGATCTTATATCTTTTTAACCAACTCTTCTGAAACTTTATGAAAAAATGGTTCCTATACCAATTTTACCTTAATTTTGGAGGATTTTTTTGAAAAGACCTACAATTTATACTAGATTAGTAGTTATAATCTACTCTATCCAAAGCTAACAGTCAAATGTTGATCATTTATTTTGCAGGTGAAGCTACGTTTCGGCAAGCAGCCTCACGTCTACAACGATTTTCTTGACATCATGAAGGAATTCAAGTCTCAGAGCATTGACACGCCGGGCGTGATTGCTCGAGTCTCGCAACTTTTTCGCGGTCACCCCGAACTAATTGTGGGCTTCAATACTTTCCTGCCTCCTGGCTACAAGATAGAAGTCAGTACCACCATACCCGGCCAGCATACCACTGTGGTGCACACTCCTCAGGGTACCCAGCAGCACTTCACTTCCACTCCTGTCATGATACAGCAGCAACAATCTCTTCCTCCTCAAATCCAGCAGCAGAATGTTCAGGCGCAGCATCCTCCACAGCAACAAACTCTGCACCTTCAGCACCAGTCTACGGCAATACCTGTCGTATCACAGTCGTCGCTTGCTCAGCCATCTTTGCAATCCATCACGCATCAGCTCCAGCCAGCTCCTGCTCTCCAAGCCGCGCAAAATGTCACCATGAAAACGCCCGCAATTTCTCTCATACATCCTCTTCAGTGAGTGATAGCATTCAGGAAGTTTCACTCCTGACAGAGAAATTTTTATCAAATCTCAGTTTACTCTCTCAATTCCATTGCATCTACTGCTAGGATTTGGGTTTCAGACAGGTTGTAAATTTACACCAGGTAAAATCTGGTAATTTTAGTTTAGGGATCAGCTCACAATATATACGTTTTTATTTATTTCAAACTGTGTGAAATTATTGCTCATGTGTTCCCAGGCGAGGTTCGGTACTCGGTATTGCCGGCAGCCTATCCATGAGCAACAACTCCACTGCCGCTGCTGATGTGGTGAGCAGCAGTGCAACCTCCATACTTGACCGACAAGCTCCCGATGCCAGTAAGATCCCCCTCAAACTTGTGTTTTATTGTTATATTCATTTTATTTCAATGGAGCAGATTCTATTTGCCAGAATTAAATTTAAGTAGAGCTGCACGGCTAGGTTTCCGTTCTCTTCACCATCTCATTAACTAGTTATTTTACTACTGGCATTTTACTTCGTTACGTTTGTTTGCTACATCAGATAAACGTAATGCATTTTCCGCATTTTCTCAGGTCTGACCCAGCAAACAACATCCATGCTACTATCACGTCAGCAGCAACAAGGATCTCCGCCTTCAGTGTCCATTCAGCTGCCCTGCAATTCAGCTTCTTCCCAACTAATGGCGACGGGGCATCAAGGTAGCCAAGTGTCACTGCTAAACTGTTCATCTCTTGGAGCTGCTCAACAGCCGCAGCAATCCTCCAACAATCTGTTGTCAACCAACACAGCACCTGTGAACAATCAGCTTCGTGACGCCCACTGCCAGCCTGGCATGAGTGCCGCCGCTGCGGCTGCTATCAATGCTGGTCTACACCATCATCAGCCGGCATCACAACCTGTCGAGTTCAACCATGCTATCAACTACGTCAACAAAATTAAGGTCTGTTTCGTACCCATTTCTTATTTTCTCACTGCAAAACTAAAATTAGGAAAGAATCACAAAAATTATGCTGTATTTCATATGAACAGATACTTGTTGTTTTTACAGATACTGTTTTTTTTTTCTTATTTCACGTCATAGTGATATATCCTGGATTACGAAGCAAAATTATCAAATTACAGGGCCTTAGATTTCTAACACTACTCAACCAGTATGTTTCCATACCTAAAATCGAATTCTATTTCTTTAAAGGACAGCACAATGCCTACTTCTGACCGACTTCCTTCTAATGCTCCCGAAGAGCGCGCCATATGACTCTTAGTTTGCTTCTATCTAAATATTGACCTAACTAAATATTGACTTTTCGTTTGTTGTAGCTCCGCTTCCAACTTCAGCCCGACATCTACAAGCAGTTCTTGGAGATCTTGCACACCTACCAGAAGGAACAGCGCAGCATGAAGGAAGGCAGTGCTTTGCAACCTCGCCCTGGAACTCTTACTGAGAAGGAGGTGTACGAAAAGGTACAGAATTATTGTTAAACTTCTTACTGGGAGGTGTAATGTTAATGGCAACAGAACGACTAATATATTTCCTACGGTAAAGTGTGTGATTCGCTTTTACTCTGAATCCTAATTCAGTATCAATTATGGTAGGAATCGCTCATCTGTTCGGATGTCCCTAATTATGTGTGAATTTCAACGATTTTTCGGGCCTTTATCTACCATGTGTATCTGCTCTGTCGGCGGCCACGTACCAAGTTTTAAATTGCTGATTACCTACAGCTTGAACTCGAAGCATTTTCGGCGATCACTACGTGTTTAACCATAAATATGATCTAATTTTTTTCAGGTGGCAAAGCTTTTCGAGAATCAAGAAGACTTGCTGCAAGAGTTCAGTCAATTCTTGCCTGACGCGACCAATAGTACTGTGGCTCAGGCTGCTGTGTCGGAGTATTACTTGGACCAGTGTTCCCGGGGCGGCCCTCTCCTGCCTCCTGTGGGTTTCCTTATGTATTTAATCATCAACTGTTAAATGAATTCATTATATAGATAGAAATAGTGTTACATGGGTACTGATGCTTATTGAATGTGGAATCGATAGCCATGGGGTAGTTGTAATCTAGAGCAAATAGAAATTTGTTGGAGCATTCAATACACAAGTTGGTGTGCTCGAGTTTAGTCTGCCAATTTATTAGTCTGCCAAATTTATTAGATTTTCTCAGTTTAGCGTCTGCGATTCAATGCGATTATTATGAAATAATAGGGAGGATTGAATTTTCGTTATCAGTGATTTTTTTATCGCTTAACAGGGCAAAGGAACCGTGCTAGATCACTTACCGTGCGGAGGTGGTGGCAAGAAGAACTCGATGCTCGGCTGCTTGTCAGGCAGCGTCGTGGGCATCAAGTCGCCCCTGGGCAACAGCGGCGGCACCAGCCCCGTCTCCATCGCAAGCAGCCTCGCTGTCGGCGCCTCTTCTCCCATCCTTTCCAATATGACGTCCAAAAACCTCACGTCTCCACAGCAACATTCTCCGGCGCAAATGGCGCCCATGGTTAGTTTTGTTCAAATCTTTCAACAAGGATAGTTGTCAATTGTCTAAAATTGATCTGTTATGTGATGGAAAGAAGCTCATGGTGATCGTGTTCCAGGATGTTTTAATTAATATTAGTTGGAATAATTATTTTTGCTTGTAAAAATTTAAATATGAATGGTTAATTTTGATTGTTGAATGTGCTCAACGTTTGCTTTGCAGGGAAGCTCAGGTCACCTGTACAACAACAGCAGCGGCGGCAGTAGTCATCTGAAGAGGAGCAACAACGCAAGCCATGCCCATCAGCCACCGGGCAAACGCATTAAACTGTCCTATCTCAAAGACGTGAGTGCCGCAGATGCAGGAAAATACGCCACTCTCGCCGAGTACGACTTCTTTGACAAGGTAAAAATTGAGTTAGCAATAGTCTTATCATGATTCCAATAAGCTAGCCATGAATTAAATTCACCTTTCAATTGTGATGAATTATTGAGAATGAAACTAAAATTTTTGGTGAAACTCTGTAAATACGTATGTTTAAATTTTCAAACTCCTACTCCCGAACCGTATTTCTCTCAGTTTCCTTTTGATTTGTTCATTTTATTCATGCTGAACATGCAGGTACGCAAAGCCATACGACACGAGGAGACCTACAACAACTTCTTGCGGTGTATCACGCTCTTCAATGAAGAGGTTGTCAGTCGTACTGAGCTCATCCAGCTCGTGCAGCCTTTCCTCAACAAGTTTAGCGATCTCTTCAAGTGGTTCAAGGTTTGTAGTGTTTAGCAGAGCATAGTTTTTTGTTTTCAGTTTCGCCTCTTTCATGTTTCTATTGTGATATCCAGCTAGAAATATTTTTATATAACTTTGATTGTTTGATAACTTTGATTGATTCAACAACTTTCTTTGATTATCGTCGAACTCTGCACAATCGTTTTGCCTAGCATATTTTTTTATATAATTGTAATTTGAAAATTTCTGTGGAAAAATATTCACTGTGTTTTAGTGGTACCCAATTTGTGTTTTTGTTACTGTGTTTTAGTGGTACCCAATTTGTGTTTTTGTTAGAAATATTTTTGTTATGAAGATTTTTTCTCTTGTTCAGGATTTCGTTAGTGGCACTGACGCTGAGAACATGAACAACTCCGACGTTATTCCATCCAACGTAGCAAAACCTGAACGCCTTGCAGGCGACTACTCTGGAGAAATAGGTAACATGGTTGCGGTTACTTCCATTATTTGTAGGAACTTTCACCTGTATTGTCGAATACCTCCATTTTTTTTCATTGGAGCTTCTCCTAACCATACATAATTTGGGACCGGGTTTGTCCGATCCCATCATAATAGTACTATTTAATTTTATAAATTTCATTAAAGGATTTATACCAGTTCTGAATGCTAAAAGAGTTAGTAGTTGCTGAAAAAAATATAATACTTTCTTACTGTCATGTCTCTAATTTTCAAAATGCTTCCTGACGAAGATTTTTAATCCAACAATATGGAATAGTACTGGTTCCTTGCACAGTGTCTCAAAGTCACAGCCCTTGGTTTTTATCGCTATATGCTATTATCAGATTACAGCACATTACGGCGGATAGGCGCCTCCTACTGCGCCTTGCCCGACGAGTGGCCGCAGGAAAAGTGCAGCGGCAGGAGCAAAATGTGCCGAGACGTCCTGAACGACGTCTGGGTCTCCTTCCCGTCCTGGTCAGAGGATGCCACTTTCGTCAGCTCCCGGAAGACGACTTTTGAGGAGTACATATATAGATGCGAAGACGAGCGCTTTGAGGTGTGTAGGATCGCGTGGTCATTGTTAGTTCACATCAATTATATTCCCTCTTTTATTGAATAACTGACATTTAGTTTACTAAATGTTTTTATTTTAGTTTCAGGCAAAAAATTACCGAGGATACTCTTGCTCAAGACGCGGTGGTGCGCACTGTCAGGTCACAAATATGGACGTAGTGTATAATTATCGTAAAGCTCGATATTCTGTTGGGTTTATTACTGAATTCCATGTTCTTGCTTATTTGTATCTTCAGTTATGCCCAGTTTTTTTATCATTAATATGTTATTTAATGAGCTTGAATACACAGTTTATGAATATATCACCAGTAGAGATAATTTCACCCTAGTATCATCAGTCTCTGTAGATCTTATTGGCATGTTCATTTCTAACTAGAGTTGACGTGTTATTACACGTCAAAGTTATAAAGTTTTCATGCCCAAAGGTGCCTCGAACTTCGTTAGAAAGATAGTCGCCGCGTAAAAGAAATGAATAACGAATAAACTTTTCATGTGTTTGAGTCTACACTTCTCGTATTAAACTAATATTTAGCCTGTTTAATTTCAGCTTGACGTGGTGCTGGAGACGAACCTAGCGACGATGCGCGTGCTGGAGGGCGTGCAGCGCAAGCTGAACCGCATGAGCGCTGAGAGCGCCGCAAGGTTCACGCTAGACGACTGCCTGGGCGGCTCGTCGCCCACCATCCACCAGCGCGCTATACGCAGGATTTACGGCGATAAAGCGCCCGATATCATTGATGGGCTCAAGAAAAACCCCATTGTTGCTGTACCACTCGTGCTCAGAAGATTAAAACTCAAGGTACTGTCGTAAAATTAAAGTTAAAGTATGGGGGTTATCCAGTTTGGGGGTTAAAATTAAAGTTATCCAACTTAAAGTACAATAGGCCGATTATGAAACTCGATATTCAGTTAGCAAGCTATCAAAAGCAGGATAAAGCAGACTAGCTATTAATCTCGAATTATTGTACCCAAGCAATTACTTGACTGAGATTTGTGACGATTAAATTTTATTCAATTATAAACGTTCATTATGAGATTATGCGTCTCATTTAGGTTTTTAAAACGTCAGCTGGTATTGAGTGCAATAGCTGACGCAATGTCATCGCTTCTTGCCACTCCACGATCGCTTTACCTACATCGACTACACCGAATATAAAAGTTCTTCTTGACTTTTTCAGGATGAAGAATGGAGAGAAGCCCAGAAAAATTTTAATAAAGTGTGGCGGGAGCAAAACGAAAAGTATTATTACAAGTCCTTGGACCATCAAGGCATCAACTTTAAGCAGAACGACGTAAAGATGTTACGCTCCAAGATCCTACTGAACGACATCGAGAACTTATTCGATGAGGTGAGTTATCAGCCTAATTCCCGACCACTCTCTAATTTTCCATCTCTAGATGAGCCAATAAGTGTTATGTCAGTAACTTATTACTGAAAACTAATCGGTATTGCTTAAAAATGCGAGTTACTTGAAAACAATTGTATGGACTTTTTTTAGATTGTTATCACATAACGTACCACGAAAATTTTCAATTGAGAAATTAGAGTGACCGAACGCGCTGAATTCCAAAAGTTTATAGTACGGAATTGGTATGTGCATTCGTCATATTATTATAAATTTAATGACAATGAAACACCGCATAATCTAACTCAAGACCATATGTAGCTTGTAACTTTGCTTTAAACCTGATACAACCTTCCACTAAACTTAATTTTTTCGTCACTGAAATAGTTTTAATCTAACTTTGATTTTTTTTTCGTCGCTGAAATAGTTATAATATAAATTTTTTTTTTCGTCACTCAAATAGTTTTTAATTCAAATTTTATTTCTTTAGTCACTGAAATAGTTAAAATCTGAATTTTTCTGTCACTGAAATACTAATCTAAATTTAATTTTTTTTCGTCACTGGTTTTAATAAAAAAAAAATGCTGCCACTGAAATAGTTCTAATCTAAATTTACTTTTTATCGTCACTGAAATAGTTTGAATAATGAGTTCTAAATTTCTCAGCGCCACGACCAAGCTGAGGACGGTGAGGTAGCCACCGGTCCGCACATCACGCTTCAGTACCCGCCTGAGAAGTTCATCTTGGACGACGCGTCTAACCTGATCATCCACCACGTGCGCCGCCAGACCGCCGTCCACAAGGAATACAAGGCTAAGATAAAGCAGCTCGTGCGTCACTTCATTCCTGACCTGCTCTTCCATACTCGGCAGGAGCTTTCTGACGACGAAAATAATCTGGAAGGTCTGTGTATGTTGTTGAAATATGAAGTACATAAACGTGTATATTTGCAAGGAAAACGAGGTTTGGTTCAGGAGAAATATCCTTTCAAATTGTACTTTCATCGCAAGAAGTAAACTTATTTTTAATTAAATCCTTATAAATTGTATTTTTATCCATTTGGGTAACTACTTATTATTCTATTATTTATTTTAATTAATAAAATGTTAGTTTATTAACTAACTTAACCTCTACCGGATACTTCAAAAGTTCAAATATATTTCCAATGTTGAACATTGATCTGGGAACATCGGTACAATTACCTTGGCGGTTGCCTTGCTTGTATTTCATCTTATAATTTCTATTGAAAAAGATTTTACTTTGTTTCCTTTCTAAATTCTTCTTCTATATATTATAAGATAGTCAAGGTAACAAACTTGATTTTCACTGCAGACGAAGATGAGGATGAAGACATGGAGGATAAGACAGAAGATCCTCCCACCAGTGACGACAAGTCAGCTGATCGTCCAGCCAAAGACCGCGAGTGCAAGCAAGGCAGTGACAGTAACTCTGGCCACGCCACCAAAAGGAAAACTCGCAGCAATAAAAATTGTTCAGAAATTTCAGAGAACCCATCCAAAGGCCTGGATGACAGAGGCAAAAAAGATAACAATTCTTGTAATAATGTCAAGGATGAAGATGACAATTCTGAAGGCAATGTTGGTGGCGAAGTTAGCGTTAGTAATAACAACGATAACAATAATAGTTCGCCCAGTAGAGGACATGGAAACATCCACAACAACAACAACAACACCATTCAAGTGAAGGAAGAGAACATGAAATGTGTTGGGAGCGGCGGTGTGAACGGCCTTGTTGCTGATGTCGACAGAGTCAACATCAAGCTCGAGGATATCAAGAAGGAAGAACATGATGACGACACGGAGGCTTCTGTTGTTGGAGGAAACTACAATTCAGTGAGTCGCCCTGCTCCTCTCTTACCTATTCTTTAATGAGCTTGAATAGAATCAACTCCAAAGAAAAATTCCCGGTGTTGCGCTTTTCATGTTAGGAAAGTTTGCATGATTAGAAAGGAGTTGTTCTCTAATGCTAGTTTTGTTACAAACCGGAGATTGTCTTCTCTTTAATATTCCTTCAATATGTCAAGTAGAATAATGTTGATATGAATTACTATATGGACTTCAACAAATAATATATAAATAAAATTGTAAATCCACTGAAGTCGTCGGTCAGATCAACGTAACTGCGCATCTTTTTTATCATGAAATGATTCTTATTGCCTAGTTTCTCGTGATCGAACCACAAGCTCCGCCGTTTCCTGTTATAATGGATTAAGAACCATTCATATGCCATTGACATTAGTGTTTGAACGTGGCTGGTGTCGAATAACCTGAATTGTTATCTGAAACAGATGATATTATCTCGTGCCGACATTCTAAATTCTACTAACTATTTATCCAGGGCGAAGAATATCGGTTGTTTTTGTGCAACAACAACTGGTATCTCTTCCTGCGGCTGCACCAGCTGTTGTGTCAGCGCTTGTATGCCATCTACTTGCAAGCCATCCAGCTTGCCATGCAGGAGAGCAAAGAGAACACGTCCAGAAGTCAGAACACGGCACTCATGCTTCGTCTCAAGCCAAAGTGTGAGTTGTGCATATTTAGGAAAAATATTATACACCGTTATTTTTTTACAGTTTTAAATTGATGATTACCTACAGCTTGAATTCGAAGCATTTTCGGCGCTCTCTACTTGCTTAACCATAAATATAATCTAAATTTTTTCAGGTGGTAAAGCTTTTCGAGAATCAAGAAGATAAAAACGATAATCGATTAAAAAGTTTGAAATTTTCAAGTGCCATTGTGTATAATCTTGTGAAGAAATTTTATCCATCATTCTCCGATTCCTGCAATGAATAGTGCCTAAATTCTATTTGACTGCATCTAAACTCCCTTCTGTTAATCGTGGTCTCATTGCTTGCTCTACGACAAATGCGTCTAAAATGCGACGTTTATATCTACTCACCAGCTGGGCCTATACTTTCAAAATTCGCTAAGTGAATATAAGTATTTACGCTCTATTTTCTTTTCTATGATTGGTGGCTTTTGCTTGAAAGACCGTCAATGATTGGCTGATGAACTTAGGATCTCTTAACTTTTTTTGAAAGTATAGGCCCCTGGCCTATACTTTCAAAAAAGTTAAGAGATCGTAAGTTCATCAGCCAATCATTGACGGCCTTCCAAGTAAATTCCACCAATCATAGACAAACAAATAGAGCGTAAGTACTTACGTTAACTTAGCGAGTTTTGAAGGTATGGCCTCCTGTTCGTCGTGAGTAACGACCGCCTTCGCAGATCCTAGTTGCTTCCCAGGATAATGTTGCTCTTTCAATATCAATGGTGGCACGGGCCATGGTTGAACTATATTACATAGGTTGACCCACGAGAATTTCCGCCTTTCAGTTCAGCTCTCTTGTTACGTCACTGAAATCCAGAAACGTAAACAATCCCATGACGGATTTGTTGACTGGTTTGATCGCATTTCGGTGATTGGTTAATGCCCGTGACGTCACTGAGATCAGTGACGTCACAGGTGAAAAACAAGCTCCATCCGCGAAAATGAGCTTCTCATGGGTCAACTTTATACTAGTTCAACCATGGTACGGGAGGCCAGACGCTTCATCATACGAGACACTTCATCACTATCGCAATTCATCGTTGGGACATTTCATCATTATAGCAATTCACCATTATATTTCATCACTGCATAAAGTGTATATGTACATGTAGGTTAGGTTAGAATGATATAGGATGAAACGATGAATGTCTTGTATGATGAGGTGCCAGGGAGCCGAGCCGGTGGCATCATTAAAAGAACAATTATCACGGAAAATTGATAATGCGAATTTCAGCGTCAATGCAATCACGTGATACGAAATATTCTCCTGCGGACAGTAAACAATCAAGATGAACTATCAATAATATTTCCCAAAGTGTAATTTGTTTCGCAAATATTTCTCTTAAATTCGTATTGAGTTTACCTCAGTGTTTTTGGGCACTATAGCGACCAAGCGCTGAAAAAAGTATTTAGCCAGCAGACTCCCCCCC